AAAAGGGGGCCCCGGTGCATCATCATCTTACTCCTACCTAAAAGGTTCTACACCATCTGCGTCACACTTGTACGCGGCTAACATATCCAAACCATGTCCGTGGACCCACGAACAGTGTGTACACAGAGGGAAGAGAGTGCTGCACTCTTCTCGCATTAAAAATCGAAGGCAAAGTGTACAGCAGGAGGGGTGGGTAGGGGTAAAACTCTCCTGTGTGACCACGGGTTGTGAGCGGTGATTTGAAGTGAAGACAAAAACAAAAAAAACAAAAAAACACCGACATACATGTAAATACATGAAAACATGGAAGACTTCGACTTGTTCCAGGTAATGGTACTTCGTAACAGAGTAGTAGTGGTTCTCGGAATAATGCCGGTCTCCCGTATAGACTAGTCTAAGCCGGTAAAATCGTCTGGCACAGAAGGATATTCAAGTTGGGTTCTCATACTCAGACCAATGCCGGTTGCCCGCAATAATGCGGTGGGCTGGATCGCACCGGCATTCATTACCGGGACCACTAAAAGGGGTGTGTTGAATGAAATCTTTACAGACCTACTGTAGCCTAGTGAGTGGTTAAAACGAGTTTCGTGAGTGGTAGGGAGGGTTGAGGTTGTTATTGTTTGTGAACCTTTGAGCTTTTTGTCCCATTGGTTTGAGACAATTACTGGCCCGTATGAATTGTTTGTGGTACTCGGATATGAGTCCGATCTGTGCATCCTCTGTGGCGGATACGCGTATGGGAAGTATGGGTGTGATGGGTATGTATGCGGTCGAGGTCGAAGTGCGGGGCCTCCGTGTGAGCACACCGGGGTGTGCTCCCGGCACTCGCCTGAGGGGCTTGCGTGTTGGTGACCAGCATGCCTGAGGGGCTTGCGTGACGGATATATTATACATGGTCCTTTTCATCTGCTGTTCCTGGGATAACATAGCACCCAGTCTCAACACCACAGACCGCTCAGTCAGGGCGGCAGTGCACCCTAACATGGATCCCATTATCCTCTAACGGGATTCTATGTAAACAATAGCGTTCAACGGCCGCAAGAGACACGCCAAATGTTCCGCGGCTGCTTCGAACAGCAGCTATATGTAGCTGCCACATACACTCACAACACTCTCACTCGCCTTCGCCTTCGCCTCCACACAACAAGTGAGTGACACAGACACATGTAGTAGCGTGTACTAGCGTTTACTAGCGTGTGCCGCACACACAGGCAGCAAGCAACCGACGGGCTCGGCTGTCGGAAGAGAAACAGACCCCGGAAGCAAAACAACAGACAGACCGGATTACCTTCTGCAGAGTAGGAAGAGAGTGAAAAAGCAATAAAAGGGTCGCCCCATACACGATATATCAACCGCGATCTTGCTACATGTATGTACCATCGGTACCAACACAGACACCCACCACGCGATCAGGTGCGCCCTACACTACCTGCCACGTGGGACGTTTTCGCGTACTGAGAGAGACAGACAGACAGACAGTACTAGAAGAGAGAGGTAGCGCGCCTACTGCCCAGCCAGGTCATCAACAGAATCGAAGTTGGTTTCGGGGAGTATATAGTATAATAACCCGCATTGCCCCGAGAGGCGCCACCACACAAAAAAAAATCAATCCAACGTGCGCACGAACGCTTGCTGCAGGCCCAGGCCCAGAGAAGACGGACCGCGCGTAGTACACAGATCAAAGATCTCACCTGAGCCAGTGCGAGAAGAAAAGGCTGAGCCTCTTGATCTTTACACGGTTGCACCATGCACTAACCACGGACACGGCGATGAGTGTCGAGAGCACCCGTATGGGTGTAAGATAGTTTTCCCCTTCTTGCATCCCTGCCACGAGGAAGCCTGTCTCGCAGGTCAGGGTATAGGGCGATGCCATGGTATGGTCTCCTTGTTTCCGCCCCACCGCACTGCAAGAAGATGAGTCCGTAAGACGTCGGTCTGTTGCGACACCCGAACGCCACGTCGTCTCTCTGGTGTGATGTTCTCTGTCGCCAGAATCGGGGGCAGCACCATGCTGTGTGTTTGTTTGTTGCACAACTTGCCACCAGTGTTTTTTTTTCGTGCCACCAGTGTTTTTGGATTACGATTGGATAATTGGCAAAAATGCGTCGCTTCCGCGCGGGCTGTCCCGCATCCGCATGTTGGGTATTTGAGCAGTTTGTAGTACATACTTACATATAATGCATATGCATCACACACAACCGGCGTCGTGTCCGATGTCCACATGCGTGTCGTCAGTGATTCCAGAAGGGCATTCCTGCAGGACCAATCAGCGAACTGCGTGCCACCAATTTGTATGCCGTTGTGGCGGATGTGGCTGATGTATGCTGTCATCGTGTTGAGGGCTGGCGTGCGTCCTCGCGATGCCGCATCAACTTATATGCATAGGAACAACACCAAAGAAAAGCAAGCGTGTCCGGAAACGATTTCCAATATGTATCTCAGTTTTAGACGACAGTTTGCAGGGGGCGCGCCGAACACTCGGCGCTAAGGTTTAGACTAATAGGGCATCCTGAACTACTACTGCTGTACAACTTTCACGCCACGACGAGGGTGTTTAAGAGCCCGCCGGTCAGATAGACTTGCATATGCTATGTCTCCCACTGAACATACTCCACGCGGCGGCTGCAAATACCAGCCGCAAAAGTCATCCCGTGCATCTTTCTACAACGAACGGCGCCCCGTTTCCCCACACCACTCTCGGCCGTTTTAGAGTTCACTTCAAACAAGCCATCGTGCACTCACGCATACCATCTATTCAAAATATCAATATCTATTCAAAATATCAATATCTTTCATACCCTAAACTCCTACTATATGTACCTCGTTCATTATATCATCACTCTCGCTTGATGTATCTGCGCTGCTTCTAATAATTGTATGCATAAATAAAGGCATCGATGAATGAATATATCCTTAGACCCATGTTTATGGTCGCCAAATCTTTGAAAAAAATCTTCAAATGTTATCAAACATTTGCGCGCGAATATCTGCCAGAGGAACATTTGAGTACCGTTTTTATGGGCAAACAAATCTTTATCGTGTGGTTTTCTCGAAACGCATCGCACGTGCGGCGGGAATCGTGGTCTACTGCTACCAAACGATTTGTGACAGACAAACCACAAATGCGTCATGGAAACTGAATGTAACGAGCTCGCAAAGGGCTCCCCACAACCCTTGATGCACTGAGCTGATGCTGTGCCCGCCAATATGTGGCGATAGCGCTCCGGGCGTGCGAGAAAAAATGTTATCGGTGTCAAAAAGAGACCAAAACGTGCGTCAGCGCTTCCCAACGGCAAAAAGTCGGCCGCTTGAGAGGACATGTGAGTACAAAACTATCCAGCTCTCGTCCTCTAGACCATCGATTCATGTTTTATCTTCTTGGGTGTCTTCTCCATCAACGACTCTCATCCGGTTGTGCGTGGGTTAGCAGTGGCCGCGCTCAGCCGGCAGGGAGGCACATCGTTGTGCGCGCAACGTTGTGGACACAACGTTTTTTTCGGTCTATTTTTTCAC